TGTCAGGTCCGACCCTTGGTGTACAGTTAGCAGGCTCCTCATCCTCCCACCCTCATCACTGGTCCCCCTCCTGTAGTAGCTTCTCCAGGGTACATCCACATGGAGAGAAAGTGAAAGATTTGACCTGCCTTGACTGTTCACTTGCCAAGCCCTGGCCTGGTGACTCCATGGTCTTCTCAGCTCTCGCCTCAGCCGGTACCTCCACTCTTGGCAGCCCTTGCCCCATCCGTCACCATCACCATCACCGTCAGCGAGGCTTGTGCGTCTCCCGCTGTTACTGGCCTCAGCCTGGCCCACAACAACATAGCCTCCTTCCCAGCCTCCCACGCTCATCCTTGAAAACTCTCCTCACCAGGCTGGGTTCCAGAAAGCTCCCTCTGTGGGGGTGGGAAGAGTGCAGAGGGCCCAGGTGATGGGAAGGTCGAGTGCCCTTGCTGGGGCCCACCCTGGTGTCCTAAGCCTGGGTGGGGGCCAGGTGGGGGGCAGGCAGATGGCTCTTCTGCCTCCTTCTCCCTCCCCCAACAGGATTGGGGACTGGGGCAGGGGATGGGGAGGAGGACCATGAACAACAAGGGCGCTGACCTCTCCCAGATAAAAGGAAGCAGATGGTCTTTAGCTGGCAGCACTTCCCTCTGCCTGTCAGGCCTTGTTAAATATTGAAAATGTCAAGGCCCTTGGGAGCCCGCCACAATGGCTGGGGCGCAAGCCTGCTGCCTGGCCCAGGTGGGTGGCCTGGCCTCTGACTGATGGGGTTCTCCTGCCCCAGAGAAGGGAGCCAGGTGACACAGACCAGCTCCCCAGGGTCCAGAAAGTAGGCCCGGGGTTAACAGGAAGAGATAGTAAGGTGGGGGTGCCCAGGAGAATGGGCAGCATAGTCCCATGTGAGAGGACCAGGGATGGGGAAGAAATTCCCCAAGGGAAGGTCTAGAGTGGTAGGGAGCTGAGTTTTTGAGACAGACTTGTTCAGGGACCTGGTCCAGCCCTGTCCCCTCCCTGGTCTCATTGGGCACACTAGCTGAAAGCTGACATGATGTGGCCCTAATCCAATTCCAATGGCATCTGTGTCCATGCCAGCCGGCCAGCCCTGCCCCCAAGCCTTTTAACTGGGCTGCCTTCAGGGACCTGCTGGGCTTAGGAGACCTCAACCAACAAGGATTGATTTGGGGGCCGTGCAGACCCCTGACCACAGGCCCAGCTGAGGGTCACTGCCCATCTAAGGCCAAGAAGGGGACACATTGCAGGTCCCTCAGCCTGGGTTTGCCCTTGATTCTGCAGCTGGATAGATGGGAAGCAAGCTCGAGTAGGTCCTCTCCCCTCTGTCCCTGGGCTCCCTGCCCCCACCTGGGGAAGCTGCGGGCATCAGATAGAGGAAACCCGAGCCGGTGCCCAAGGGAGAGAGGCAGGGACAGCTGCTGCCCTTCTGGGTGGGGGCAGGAGGACGCTAGGTGGTCCGGTCTCAGCAGAGCCTCTACCCAACCCAGAAGCCCCCAGCCCCTTCAGGCATCAGTGTGGGCAGGGATCTGTCCCTTTGCCTGGTCTACTGCCCCTGTGAGGAGCTTCAGGAGTGGGCCCAGTACTCCAGTGGAAGTGGCCAGCTGCCAGCCATCCACTAGAGGCCAGTGTGTGGCTGTATGCACTCGGGCCTGAAGGGAGACAGATGCGGGAGGCCTGGGAAAGGGCCTGGGGGGAGGGGAGAGGGATGCTTCGGGCAGGGCCAGGGGACGGCTGAGCATCAGGAGGAAACCAGTCAGATGAGGGAGGTTGAAGGCCTGGATGCCATTCCCAGCTGGGGGACATTGGGTTAGCCTCGGCAGCTTCCAGAGACCTTTGCTGCTTTAGCCCTGAAATGGAGCGTGGGATTCAAAGAGACTGGGAGGGGTGTGGTCATCCTCAGGGCCATCTCTATCTGAGGTTCCTTACTGGCTCCCACCTGGACCCTGCAGGCCCCCAAACTCTCATCCACAGGGATTTCATGTCAGGTCACATGCTTGGATGAGGATAGGTGACTGGTGGCGGGGTAGGGAGGGTGAAACCACTCCCTCAATTTGGCTGAATGTCAGCGGGTGTCATGTGGGTGGTCACCTACAGAAATGGGGCTCAGTGCCCTGTGCAGCTAAAGTTCCGCTGGCGATGGGAGAGGCCATGGCCAAGTCAAGGGGTTCCAGCATCTAGATTTCCCTCGGACAAAGCCAGAGAATCCCAACAGTGGCAGCGAGAGAAACCTTCCCACAGTTCCCTTTGCCTCTAGGAGCGTAGCGGGCCATGCCCTCTCTTGAGTTCCAGTCTCACTGGGCACATGATCTCTGGACTCTGAGCCCCACTTTAGAGGTGGCCCTGGGCTTCCACAAGTAGACTCAGACAACCACCTTCTCAGAGCTCACGGTCCCCTTGCCCCTGCTCTGTGCTTCCCACCCCCATCCCGGTCTGAGCAGGCCTGGCGGACAACTCCACTGACCTAGACAAGCGCCGGCAGATCTACGGGCAGAACTTCATCCCCCCCAAGCAGCCCAAGACTTTCCTGCAGCTGGTGTGGGAGGCCCTGCAGGACGTGACCCTCATCATCCTGGAGGTGGCAGCCATCGTCTCCTTGGGCCTTTCATTCTACGCACCACCGGGAGAGGAGAGCGAGGGTGAGGGGCAGGGCCAAAGGGGCAGCGCGGGTCAGGGGTAGGGAGCGGGCTGCCGGGTGGGCAGGGTTTGTGGAGGGAGGGCAGGGCTTGAGGGGGTCCTCTCGGCCCGGGCACAGCCTGCGGGAACGTGGCGACCGGGGCCGAAGACGAGGGCGAGGCGGAAGCCGGCTGGATCGAGGGTGCGGCCATTCTGCTGTCGGTCATCTGCGTGGTGCTGGTCACGGCCTTCAATGACTGGAGCAAGGAGAAGCAGTTCCGAGGCCTGCAGAGCCGCATCGAACAGGAGCAGAAGTTCACGGTCATCCGCAATGGGCAGCTCCTGCAGGTGCCCGTGGCTACGCTGGTGGTGGGAGACATCGCCCAGGTCAAGTATGGTGAGTGTTGGGCCCATCGGCCCTGTGGCAGCTGAACTCCAGCTGGCCAAGATTGAGTTCAGTTAGGTGGGGTAAGTCCACGAAAGAAGGACACTGAGGGACAGGGTGCTCTGCTCGGCCTCTAGGGGACCTGCTGCCCGCCGACGGGGTGCTCATCCAGGGCAACGACCTGAAGATTGATGAGAGCTCGCTGACCGGGGAGTCAGACCACGTGCGAAAGGCAGCGGACAAGGACCCCATGCTGCTTTCAGGTGTGGTGCCCGCGGCCCCGCCAGTTTTGCTTGGCCTCAATCTTGCGGGGGCCCTGGCTGCTGAGTCCTGTGGTCATGCCATGCGAACCTCCATCTCAGTCGCTCTCTGTTGTTGGGCCAGGCACCCATGTTATGGAAGGTTCTGGAAGAATGGTGGTGACGGCTGTGGGAGTGAACTCGCAGACAGGCATCATCTTCACCTTGCTCGGCGCTGGCGGAGAGGAGGAGGAGAAGAAAGAGAAGAAAGGTCAGCCAGTTTCCAGTGCCCCAAGGGCCGGCCACTCCTTCCACAGGCTGGGGAGAGCCAGCCGCTCCCACTTTGTCTTTGCCGCCGGGTCCCTCCAATTCTCTAAGCTCCCCTTAGGCTTTGCAGCTGGAGAGGATATTGGCCCGCCTGGGGTGGAGAAGATAGTAGATTCCAGACCCACAGCAACCAGGAAGATGGGATGGAGCAGCAGGCAGTGGGGAGGATGGCTCCCAAGCCAGGCCTGGACAGAGGCGGCAAAGACAGATGTCCTCCAAAAGCCCCATGTCCCCCTCCAGCCCTCACAATGAGGGGAGCCCAGCTGGCTCTTCAGGGGCCTTCCTCCAATGAGAGGAGACCTTGTCCGCGTTTACCCGGACACACTTCTGTGGAGGGCTGTGTAGACAAAGGTTCCAATAAATCTTGTCACCTTTGACGGTGATGGGGGTGCTGGCTGCCACAAGGAAGGCTGCCCCAGATGGGCAGGGGTGGGAGAGATGGAGTGTGACATTGGCATGTTCTCCCCGCCTCCAAATCAACCCCGGGATAGCAGAGCCACACTGAAGTCAGTTTATGCAGGGACACAGTGTCCTAGCTCTGGCTCCGAGAAGCTTCCTGAGGCACTGTCCTTGGAGTCGCCAGGGACCTGTGCCACCTTGTCTTAGCCACACCAAGCCCCCTCCCCTTGAATGGCTCAGCACAGAGTCTCTCTGGCTAAGACTCTCCACTGGTCCCCGAACAGCTCCCCAGGAAGGCGAAGACAGCGACCAAGGGCCAGAATCCCTTTCAGTGACTCTTAGGGATGGAGATGTCCCACTTGGGGAGGGTCCCCACCCCCCACCCGAGAGCTCCTCCAGAATCCCACATAGAAGTGGACATCCTGCCCATGGGGGTCCCCAGCCTCACTACCTTCCTCCCATCAGGCCACCCGGCCCCAAGGATGGCATTCAAGCCTTTCTCCTCCCTTTTCCATTGAACACTGGCTCTACCCTCTGTCCTCTGTCGTGTGTGTGCGCGCGCGCGCCCGCACGCATGCGTTGCGTGTGCAGGTGTATGTGCGTGTGCAGGTGTATGTGCGTGTGCCTGAGCGCACGCCCTGTCGATGTTCTCAAGTCTCCGCGTCTGTCGTTCCTCTTCCGTTGTAGGCAAGCAACAGGATGGGGCCATGGAGAGTAGCCAGACCAAAGGTAATGCGGGGCAGCGGCACAGAGGCCCAGTGGGGCGTGGGGTCAAGGGGTGGGCACCACTGTGGCCCAGGGACGCACACACGTCCAGAGCAGGATAGCTGGTGGCCCCCCCAGGCTTAGCATCGAAAGGTGGCACGTGAAGGGACAGTATGGGCCAGTTCCCAGGTCAGCTTTTAACAAGTAGGGGCGGGGGTAGGGGGGAGTGGCATTCACAGATGGCTGGGCTGTTTGCTGACATGGTCTCAGCCTTCCAAGAAAGACTCTGTCCAGCCAGAGTGAGTTGGATGCAAGGGACCCAGGAGCAGGTGGAGAAGCAGCAGTGGGAAGGAGTCGGGGAGCCAGAGCTCAGTAGGCAAAGGGGGTCTGGACAGATGGACAGATAGAGACAGGGAGGGCTGTGAGGCTGGCCCAGCAGCAGCCCGTTTCCTTGGCAATAGCCAACTGTAGCAGCAAGGAAGTCCAGGACAGTGCCTGCCCGGTGGGGGTGGGCAGGAGAGAATGCATCCAGCCCCTTGCTCTCAGGATTGGCCACCCTGTGCTGTGTGCCCAAGTGACTTGTGCTGTCTCTGTCCTTCCACCCCTGTGGCACCTGCCTGCCCCCTGGGGCTCTGGGCTGACCAGGGCAGAAAAGGGAGGTGGAGAGGCTGGCGGGGTCCTAACCTAGGCTTGGGGTTTCCTCTTTGTCTAGCTAAGAAGCAGGACGGGGCTGTTGCTATGGAGATGCAGCCCCTAAAGAGTGCCGAGGGCGGGGAGATGGAGGAGCGGGAGAAGAAGAAGGCCAGCGTGCCCAAGAAGGAGAAGTCGGTCCTGCAGGGGAAGCTTACCAAGCTGGCTGTGCAGATCGGGAAGGCAGGTACGTGCCACCCGGGGCAGGGCACCCTTTCAAACCTTCCACTCAGGCCTGACCAAAACTGGCTGCTTCCAAGCTCCACTCATGGGCCTGCAGACTTGCCCCCCCCCCCAGGGCCGCAGCCCTTCCCAGCGTCCAAGGAGGCCCCACCATCACCCCGTCATGCCCCGTTGGAAGCAGCTAGTCCTGAAACTTGACCCTGACTCCCCTGCCCCCCACAGGGCTGGTGATGTCTGCCATCACGGTGATCATCCTGGTCCTCTACTTCGTCATTGAGACCTTCGTCATCCAGGGCCGGGTGTGGCTGGCTGAGTGCACGCCGGTCTACGTGCAGTACTTCGTAAAGTTCTTCATCATCGGCGTCACTGTGCTGGTCGTGGCCGTCCCGGAGGGCCTGCCTCTTGCCGTCACCATCTCCTTAGCTTACTCTGTCAAGGTAATGACGCTGATAGTAGTGAGGACACTGAGGTCACCGGTGTCGTATGTAGTCCCGACCACAACAATAACAAAGAAACAAGAGCCCACGGATGCTCTGCCGAGCTGTGTTCTGCCTAGGCAAGAAACCCAGGGTTGGAATGACGGAAGCAAAGCTAGCCCCAAACCCCTGTCCGCCAGGCCGGATGTTTGGATTTGGTGTCAGGTCACGGAGCCTTGCTAGCATTTGGGGTAAGTGCAGGGCTGCTAGCCTCAAAGTTGGTAATTCAAACCCACCAGCAGCTCTGCAGGATAAAGATGAAGCCGCCTGCTCTTGTAAAGATTGGTAGTCTTGGACACCTGTGGGAACAGTTCTCCCCCACCCTAAAGGGTCATTAGGAGTCCAAAGCACCTTACTGCCATGGCATCAATTCTGACTTCTAGCGGCCCTATAGTGCAGAGTAGAACTGCCCCTGTGGGTTTCTAAGAATGAAACTCTTTATGGGAGAAGACAGCCTCGTCTTTCTCCCACGGAGCCACTAGTGGTTTTGAACTTCTAGCATTGCCTTTAGCTGTTCAACCTGCCAAGGACTTCCAGCAGGCCCCTCCCTTGTTACAAGTGGCGGTTCACTGGTCATCTGGCCAGGTGGCACCATGGGGACAGCAGGACCTCCCCACCCAGCATCCTGGGCCCTCTGTTAAGCCCGAGAAGATAGGACCATTTGGGCTTGCCCTTAGCAGGATGGATGGAGGGCTCTGGGGTACAGGTAGTATGGACAGAGATGCCCTGGTGGCTTGGATTCTGTGGATCGGGTAGGCACCCACCTGGCATTTGCTGGGTCAGCCAGAAGGGTGGGTGGAACTGGTCAAGTAGGAGACAAGAGGTTGCACTGAGACCTGCGTACCTCGTGGCCACCAACGCCCCCGCCTGTGCCTCTCACAGAAAATGATGAAGGACAACAATCTGGTACGTCACCTGGACGCCTGTGAGACCATGGGCAATGCCACGGCCATTTGCTCAGACAAGACCGGCACGCTGACCACCAACCGCATGACCGTGGTCCAGTCCTACCTGGGGGACACCCACTACAAGGAGGTCCCAGCCCCCAGCGCCCTCACCCCCAAGATCCTTGACCTCCTGGTCCACGCCATCTCCATCAACAGTGCCTACACCACCAAAATTCTAGTGAGCCAGCCGCCAGGACGGACGGGCGGGCGGGCGGGCGGGGCCTTTGGCTTCACCAGAGGTGGTGGGGGCGGGCCCTGGGGCCACTGATGACCCTCTGTCTGGCCTGAGCCTGACTGGGTGCTCTTGCTCCAGGTCTCCTGTCCTCTCAAGGTGAGGGGATGGTGGGAATGTTTGATGGGATGTGGCTGGGCTGAGGCCAGGGTCCCAGGGCGTCGGGGACCATGGCCATGGGCCCCAAACGCCACGGGTGCTCTTGGCTTGGCAGCCTCCAGAGAAGGAAGGAGGCCTTCCACGCCAAGTGGGCAATAAAACGGAGTGTGCTCTGCTGGGCTTCGTCCTGGACCTCCAGCGGGACTTCCAGCCCGTGCGAGAGCAGATGCCGGAAGACAAGCTTTACAAAGTCTACACCTTCAACTCGGTCCGCAAGTCCATGAGCACTGTCATCCGCATGCCTGATGGCGGCTTCCGCCTCTTCAGCAAGGGCGCCTCCGAGATCGTCCTTAAAAAGTGAGTGGAGCCATGGCGAGAGGAGGCAGGCTTTCTCTGCGGTGGCTGGGGTTCTGAGGCATGGCCAGCTGATGTGTCAACACCGATCCTCCAGTTTGCCCCTTTGGAATGCACAAGTCAGTGGTTTCCAGGGCATAAGCTATGCACAACTGCACTACAATAGAATACTCCAGAACATTTCCACGAGCCTTTGCCCCCTGCCAAATTCTGCCAAGTTACAGCCTCCCCAGCCTGGCACAAAGGCCACCCCTCTCTGGTCTAAATCCTGCTAGCACTCATGGCCCCTTCTGAGAAAAGCTACCAGAAGCTTCCAGGGTTAGCAGAACTTGTATCTCCTTGGTCACATTCCCAGATGAGGCTGAGGTATGGCCACCCTGGGGACCCTCTTGATCTCAGTGGGGCTGTCCCTTGTTCTAGGTGCTCCAACATTTTAAACAGCAACGGGGAGCTGCGCATCTTCCGTCCAAGGGACCGTGATGAGATGGTGAAAAAGATCATCGAGCCGATGGCCTGCGACGGCCTCCGCACCATCTGCATTGCCTACCGGGACTTCCCTGCCGGCCAGGAGCCAGCGTGGGACAACGAGAACGCGATCGTGGGCGACCTTACCTGCATCGCTGTGGTGGGCATCGAGGACCCTGTGCGGCCAGAGGTGGGCATGTCCTCTGCGTGTGCCACTGGGGACTTGTCTCCCAGGGTCGCAGGCTAGCCTGCTCAATAGAGGGTGGACACAAAGGGGCTCAGGAGGTGGGGGGGGGGGGCTTGAGAGAGGAAGGAGTCGGAGCAGACTGGGGAAGGAGGGTAGCTTGGGGAGGCTGACTGAGGAACTGGTGAGAGAATTTGGTTGCAGTTGAAAGTTTGGTTGAAGCTGACAAAGTTCAGAGAAGAAAGTTCCAGCCTGAGAAATTCTAGAATCATCTATCTCTTGGTGATGCCACTGGGGCAGGAGCAGACCCTCTAAAGAAGGGGCAGAGAGGGGACCAAGCCCTGAGCAGAGGAAGTGGAGTGAGGGAAGGGAAGGGGAGAGGAGGGCTGGTCGGGTTTTACCAGTGGGAGAGCCTGGTCCAGATTGAGGCAACCGCCTGAGCTCAGCCAGGAAAACAAGTACGGTGGCCAAGGGGGAGAGGCTCCGAGAGGGTCATTTGATAGACAAGGTTCTACAGGGCCACCTCAGGAACACCCAAGTTGGGCCGTGCAGCTGAGCACTGGGGTGTGGAGTCCCAAGGCCACCAGCCTGCCTTCCCCTCCCTCCTTTGCTCTGCTCAGAGCCTTGCAACCCTATAGGACAGGTCGAACTGTCCCTGTGGGTTTCTAAGACTGGAACTGTTTACAAGAGCAGAGCAGCCCGTCTTCTGGTCCAAGTCACTCATTTACAGAAGCTCAAACGAGTCCAGGGTGGGACAGAAGCCACAAGGTGACGGGTGGACGGGGTCAGGCCAGGAAGGGTGCCTTGTAAAGGCCCCTGACTGCCCAGGCCTTTGGCTGTTCACGGCCACCTGGTGGCAGCAGAGGGCTGCTTGCCACGTGCTTCAGAGCCAGGCCGGAAGCTGAATCCCATATCCCAAGATCCTTTCCTCCACCCCCAACCCTGCAAAACATCAGCAACATCCCAGAGATAGGAGTTGGGAGACATTTCTGGGGTGCAGAGGATGCAAGTGGATTTTTCCCAGGACTTGTCAGCCTGAGTGGGGCCCCTCTTTTCTCTGTCCAGCTGGGGTCGTACATACCCCCTAGACTGCAGACCAGACCCACCTCTCCCACTGACCTGGCGTTCCTTCCAGAAGCTACTATTTGGAAATGAAAAGGTTTTGTGCCCAAACCAACAGTCCACTCCCCTAGCAAGAGCCTGTCAGTAAGCTAAAAATATGGCCTCGGGCGAAGACAAACAATTTGAGAGGCAAGCAGACAGGCCAGGGCGGCAACTTCCTCTTTCTTCTCTAGAACAAAGACCCAGATGATGGGCACCCAGCCCCTGTGTGAAATGGGGCTGTCGAGCCTGCCTCCCCTGCCCGTCCTCTTCCACCTGTTCGGGACTAGCCCATGCCTTGGGGGATCCCCAAGTGGCTTTCAGGGCACTATGGCTACAGTCCTGAGGCCTACTTCCCCATCTCCTCTAGGTCCCTGAAGCCATCCGCAAGTGCCAGCGTGCTGGCATCACTGTGCGCATGGTGACCGGCGACAACATCAATACGGCCCGGGCCATCGCAGCCAAGTGCGGCATCATCCAGCCAGGGGAGGACTTCCTGTGTCTGGAGGGGAAGGAATTCAACCGGCGGATCCGAAATGAGAAGGGCGAGGTAGGCGCCCCAGGGACTGCCCCAAGCCAGTGTAACGCCTCGCCCCCAATGTGGTGTCTGTGTCTTTAGCTCTGGAGGTCCAGTTGAGGTTCTGAGGGATCTGCATCTTCTTAGCTGGACCTCTGTATGGGCTAGCCCTTCCCCATCTCACCCTCCTCCCCTGCTGGCCATGCGGCCTGAACTCTACCACCTGTGTGTGCTCCCCTCCCCCAGATAGAGCAGGAGCGGCTGGACAAAGTGTGGCCCAAGCTGAGGGTCCTTGCCCGCTCTTCTCCCACCGACAAACACACCTTGGTCAAAGGTAAGTGCCCACCTGTTCCCTGTCCCAAGGAAGAGACTAGGGTCCCCAGCTCCAGATCCAGCACTGGGGGACACTCGGAGCCTCAGAAACTTGATACATGAGAGAGGGGCTACTTATCCAAGCTGCCAACCACCGCATCTTTATTACCTCCTGTCCCTGCACAGGCCCACGGGAGGTGGGGGCTATGCAGTTAAGTCTTGGGGACTTGATTCCACAGGTAACAGGGAGCCACTGTAGACTGGGACGGTGGGCTGTGGTGACAGGTGGCACCCCCTCCCGACCCCGTGTTCCAGGGATCATCGACAGCACAACTGGGGAACAGAGGCAGGTGGTGGCTGTAACCGGGGACGGCACCAACGACGGGCCAGCCCTCAAGAAGGCCGATGTGGGCTTTGCCATGGTGAGCCACTGTGGACAGCCCTCCTCAAAGAGCGCTACCACAGAGTGGCCCCCGCCACTGGCCCTCCCTGCCATTAACTTGGTGCTGGAAGGTGGTAGCTCCTGGTGGAGGCAGGTGGTTCTTTCTTCCACACCCTGGCTTCTGGGTCTCTAGTAGTCCTGCCCTCCAAAGGACACCCATGTGAATAGTCTAAAGGCATTTGGTGTGGTCATGTCTGAGGAGACAGTGGACCCAGCCACATGGCAGAGGGAAGGGAAGTGGGGCAAGGCGGTTGGGGGGGGCGCAGCACATATCAGTCCTGGTGCCTGCTGAACAGCCCCATTTCCAATTCACTTCAAGAAACTCCTGGATAAAGGGGACCCCTAGCCCCAACGGTGCTAACTCATCACCCATGTGGTTGAACTCAACCTTCTGGCCCCACAAAGGCAGTCTTCTCTGCCCTCCCCACAAGACTGGTGGGGCCACTGGGTGTGGCCAGGATGTGAGACAGCTTGCTGTTGGAAGGCAAAGGCGGAGCTAGCCCGTGGTGGGTGCTCTCTATAGGGACTGTGTGTGTGTGTGTGTGTGTGTGTGTGTGCCCTAGGGCATCGCGGGGACGGACGTGGCCAAGGAGGCCTCTGACATCATCCTGACGGACGACAACTTCAGCAGCATCGTCAAGGCCGTGATGTGGGGCCGCAACGTCTACGACAGCATCTCCAAGTTCCTGCAGTTCCAGCTGACGGTCAACGTGGTGGCCGTGATCGTGGCCTTCACAGGGGCCTGCATCACTCAGGTGGGCACCCGAGACAGGCCAGCCGAGCAATTGTTTGTGTTGGCTGCATTTTTTTTCCCATTGAGAGAAAATCCACATACCACAACATTTTCTGTTTGCAAGTGGGCAGTCCCTCCGCATGCTCCCTCCCCTTCCAACTCACAGGGACCCTAGACAGGGTTTCCCAGGGGCAAACCACCCAGCTTTCTCCTGCAGAGCAGCTAGTGGGTTTGAACTGCGGACCTTGCAGTTAGGGATCCAAGGCTTACCTCACAACGTCACCAGGGCGCCTTCACCTCTCTTCTGCCTGTGACTCTGTGCCTTGCTCTGAGTGGGGCCGCATGTCTCCAGAGCTCCTCGGGGCCGTCGTTCCTCCCTGCAGCAGGTTGTGGGTCCTCCTTGTGACTAGGACTCCGTGGGGGCAGCTACACCACACGGCCATCCCTCTAGCCTGTGCTGGGAACTGCTGGGCCAGCCGGCAAGTCCATGTTTCACTGTGTGACAAGCCTCCCCCTCTTTCCGAATGGCCCCCTTGGCCCCATTGCTAAGCGCCAAGATTGATTTCTTTTCCATTAAAGCGTGACAGGTCGTTCTGCTGGCAGGCTGTTAATTTAGTTACTGATCAACTCGATCCTTTCAAGCTTTCTTCTTTTGTTTTTGCCGATGGAGGTACAGTTCATATGACATAAATGTCACCAGTTTCTAGTGCATATTCTCAGCGACACGGTGCAGGCACCATGTTGTGCAGCCAGTGCCTCATCTTGCCCCAGAACTTTCCTCACCCCAAACAGAAAGCCTGGACTTGGCCCTTTACTCCCCACCCCACCCCGCCGCCCCCCTTCCAGCCCCTGCAACCGCTCATCTCTTCTCTGTCTCTTTTGTGTCGGCCCATTCTGGGTTTTCCATTTAAAAAGGGAATCGTGCAAGATGCGGGTGGTTTGAACCAACAAATCAAAGGTGAGGAAGGGAGACAGTCAAGCCATTTCTGGCCTCAGGACACCCAGTGAGAGAAGACTGGGCACGGGACCCTTTCCCCTCTTTCTACTTATGATTCCTGTGAAATTCACATCAACTCACTGCCCCCTACACTTCTCATGTAACCTTTAGAGCTATCCCTGCCAATTTTCTAGATAATTCTTTAAAAGAGCTGAATGCGCAACACAGACATTCTTTACAGGTGACTTCAAGGGTTGGTTTTGCCTTAAAGTTGTACGTTTTTAAGATTATTGCCTCTGAGAACAGTCTCAGGGGGACTTTTAACCTGTGTGGTTCTAGGAAGTCCAGAATTAGTGAGCATTTGAAAATCTGCTTTATACTTTCCTCCTTTTGATCAGCAGTCTTCTATAGAATCTTTGATCAAAACCTTCAGGAATGGTAGCCGGGCACATCCATTGCAGTTCCTCCTTCTCTTCCTGGCTCCACGCACTGTTGTTACCTAGAAGCAAGACCAACAGTTGTTCCTTGGATGGCACTCAGAAGCATTGAAAAGTTGAAACACTGTACAGCCAACTAGAAGGTAGCACAGAAACATTGAAAACATTAGGCCCTTTGACTAGAATGTCACCCCAAACCATGATTTTTTTAAAGTCATTTTACTGGGGACTCGTACAACTCTTAACAAAACCCATCCATCCATCCATTGGGTCAAGCACATTTGTACATGTGTTGCCATCACCGAACCATGATTTTAAACCTTCAAATGAACAAAAGATATCCCACGCACAGGTGTTCGGTTGTTAGCTAAGCAGCAGCCGCCGCTGCTCTGTCTGTTGTTGTAAACATAGAGAAAGCACATGTGGCAGTGAAATCAACTACACAAATCATGTGGCACAATCATTATACTGAGTTCGTGGCAGTTTCCCATCACCATGAACTCACTGCTCCCCAAAGCATGGCTTCCCCCGTCTCCCTCTTTCCTGCACCGGGTCACCGCTAATGAACTGTGGTCTCCCTGCACTTGCCTCTTCGTGTCATTCTCTATGAGCCCCCTGTGTCTGGCCAGCCATTTGAAGATCCTTTTTGGTGAAATGTCTCTTCGGGTCCTTTGTCCAGTTTTCAATTGGGTTCTTTGTCTGTTGTTAGCCTGTAGACGTTCTCCATATTGGGGGGATGTTAGACCCTTAGCAGATACACGATTCCTGAACATTTCCTCCCTATATAGGTTATCTTTTCACTTCGTTGATAAAGTCCTTTGAGAAACAAAAGTATGGAGTTGTTCAATGAGGCCCCATTCATCTCTTTTGTCTTTTGCCATTTGTGCTTTGGATGTGGCAGATACCTGGTACTCCATTCTTAAACACTAGGCCCACCAGTCATCTCCCCTTGGATTTTCTTCGAAGGAGTTCAAGGGGTTCGTTCTCATATGTAGGTCCTTGAACCCTTTGGGCTTGGTTTTCAAGTGTGGTGTGAAGCGTGGATCTTGACTCATTCTTGTGCGGGGCTGTAAAAATGGCAGCGTCTGACTTCACAGACGGTGAGATCAAGACTCATCATCAGGACCAACCCAGAGCCAATTCCTGTGAGGTGGTCAGCCAGGCCCCTAGCCAACTTTCTTTACCAGTTCTGACACCACCTTCCCTCCCTTGGTACCCTCTGCTTCTCGGAGGGTTGGATTATTTGTTCCAATGGACACACAGAACTCATAGACAGACGGACAGTTGGGTTTATTAGGGAAGTCAAAGATCACAATTCAGGTTCAAAAATGACCCAGAATCAGTTCTTCCACTGGCACAGCTTTCTCTCAGTCACATGGCCCCTTGGCCTCTGCCTTGCTTGGACCAGTGTTACTAAGCTCTTGAAACTCTGCTGGTAAACACTCGAGAGACACTCCACCAGTAAGCCTTGGCCTCACGGCACTCAGCTCTTGCTCCTGGAATCAGCAAGCCTGGCTCCCCAGACAAATGCTTGAGAGGCACCCACTGCACCAGCAAGCCCTCCTTCCCAAGGCCACTGAGTTCTCTTACTCCTTGGGCCAAAAAGGCCCCGTACTCTGTCTCCTACCTCTGTGGGGTCACAGCTCTCTGTCTCCTTGATTGACAAGGTTTGGCACAGGGATCTGGAGTTCTGAAACTGTGCTCCCCACCTGGCTCTTTGGAGATGGCACAGTGCAAAACTGACCCATGCCCACGCTAGAGTTCCATACACCGACTGTATATGCATGGTCCCGCCCCGATGGTGCCAGCTACCTTACTTACATTATTGGCAAGTTATCCAATCCCTTGGTGGGCCATAGACACCTCGCTCTGCACAGTCTTCCCCCACCATTTGGTGAGAGTGACAAACACTATAACTAGAAGGACCATGCTGAGAAATGCATTGCTACTCTGTGATGTGGAAACCCAATTTTCCCAGCACCCGTTACTGAAGAGACTCTTCCTTCCCCGTTAACCGTAGATGGTCTGGGTTTGTTTCTGGATTCTCAATTCTATCCCATTAGTCTACGGATCTCTTTCTTGTTCTTCTTCCTTCTTTTAATAAATCATTTTGTTGAGGCTCATACAACTCTTCTCACAATCCATCCATCCATCCATTGTGTCAAGCACATTTGTACATTTGTTGCCATCATCATTCTCAAAGCATTTTCTTTCTACTTGAGCCCTTGGTATCAGCTCCTCTTTTTTTTTTTCTTCCTCTGCCACCCTCCCATCCTCATGAACCCCTGATAAATTATAAATTATTATTTTCATATCTTACACCATCCGCTGTCTCCCTTCACCAATGTTTCTGTTGTTCGACACCCTGGGGGGGGGTCTATGTTAATCATTGTGATTGGTTCCCCCTTTCCTCCCCCTTATACTGATCTCTTATTATAGCGGTGCCCGGCTGTTTTGATTATTGTAGTTGAATAATATTTTATGAAATTAGGAAGTGTGGATCCTCCTGACTTTGTTCTTCTTCAAAATGACTTTAGTTAGATGAGACTGCTTGCCATTTTTTAGTGACATAAGGGCTCTTCTTGAACTGTGAAGAAGCCCGTTGGGATGTTGCTCAGGGTTGCACTGAGTCGGCAGATCGCTTTGGCTAGTACTGACATCGTAACAATATTAAGTTGTCCAATCTGTGAACACCAAATGTCTTTCCATTTATTTAAGTCTCCTTCAATCTCCCTCGGCAGTGTTTGATGGTTTTCATTGCACAACTGAGTCCTGGGTACTTTATTCTCTTAGCTGTTCTTGTTAGTGGAACTGCTTTTCTTAATTTCCCTTTCACATTTCTCACTGCTGGCGTATGGAAACCCACCTGGGTTTTGTGCTTTGAGCTTGCACCCTGCCCCCTTGCTAACTCCCTCTATCAGCTCTAGAGGTGTTCTCGGGGTTTTTTTGGGATTCTCTATGTAAAGGGTCACATGAGACCAGTCACATTTTAAGAGCAGGAATCTGAAAGCCCCAGACCCAGCTGGTTAAGCATTTGACTACGAGCTTTAAGGCCAAGAGGAGGAGTTCAAACCTCCCCAAATGGGTCTCAGATGACAGGCCTGGTGATCAGCTTGTGAAATGTCACCACCTTGAAAACCCCCACGACGACTGCCACCTACACACGTAAGGGTGGAGAAGCCACACGTTTTTGTTTTTTGGGTTTTTATTTTATTTTTAATAGGGGCTCATATAACTCTTATCACAATCCATACATACCTCAATTGTGTAAAGCACATTTGTACATTCATTGCCCTCATCATTCTCAAAACATTTCCTCTCCACTTAAGCCCCTGGCATCAGATCCTCATTTTCCCCCCCTTCCTCCCTCCTCTTCCCTCCCTCATGAACCCTATATAATTTATAAATTATTGTTTTGTCATATCTTGCCCTGTCCGATGTCTCCCCTCACCCACTCTTCTGTTGTCCGTCCCCCAGGGAGGAGGTCACATGTAGATCCTTGTAATCGGTTCCCTCTTTCCAACCCATTCTCCCTCTACCCTCCCAGTATCGCCACTCACAGCACTGGTCCTGAAGGGATCATCCGCCCTGGATTCCCTGTGTTTCTAGTTCCTATCTGTACCAGTGTACATCCTCTGGTCTAGCCAGACTTGCAAGGTTTTTTTATGGGGGAGGGGTTAATCGTTCATCTTCTTTTGCTCTTATTGTTTAAGACAGACACAGCAAAACCTATACCGATTCAACCATTTCCACGTGTGCTGTTCCATGACACACCGATCGCATTCTTCGAGTGCTTCAGCTTTTCTCCTCCTCCTCCCCCCAGCCCCCCACCTCCCTGCCCGGAGAACATAAACTCCCTGCCCCCAAAGCTTCCCAGTCATGGTTCATGTGATCTTCAGAGAGCGTCTTTACTGGAGCGCAATGCAGACTTTCCTTATTATTTCAGCCAAGTCTTTGATTTCAGTCCATAGACTGCTTGTTCCACATCCTGCTCTAGGATTGACTTGGATTGCTGGTCATTTCTTGCTCATAGATGGAGAAGACACATTATAATGTCGTGTTTATGACTGTTGCAGGTTCATGTAAAACCAGCCCAAACTGAGTTTCTCCCTGGGAGCCCAAGGGCTGTTGGGTGCCAGCCCAACAAGATGGGTGACTGCCTCCTCTCCACAGGACTCTCCTCTCAAAGCCGTGCAGATGTTGTGGGTGAACTTGATCATGGACACATTCGCCTCCCTGGCCCTGGCGACAGAGCCACCCAATGAGTCACTGCTGCTCCGGAAGCCGTATGGGCGGGACAAGCCCCTGATCTCGCGCACCATGATGAAGAACATCCTGGGTCATGCCGTCTACCAGCTCACCATCATCTTCACGCTGCTCTTCGTCGGTAGGCTCAGGGCCCAGGGTGCCCACGCTTGTCTGCTGCAGCTGTCATGGGCAGTGGGCCCCGACCCATGGAGGCAGTGCCCCCTCCTGCAGCCACAGCTGCTCCTGGGAGACTCTGAGCTGTGCGGGGAGTTGTGGGAGGAGAGAGAGGAAAGAGAGGGAGAAGGAGCGAAGAGGGGCAGGGAGCAAGGGGGAGGAAGCTGGTGATGTCCAGGGCAGCTGTGCAGGACTGAGGCAAAAGGGGTCGAGGCCACCGGAGCAGAGAGGAGGGCTAAGTCCCAGCAGCGGTGAGGCAGCCGCAGGGGGTGCCTAGGCCTGCCCTGTTCCTCGAGTCTACCCTGCAGCCCCTGCCTTTCAACCCCGAGCCCAGAGACCCCAAGAAACACAGGGCATCGGCGGAGGCATCTCGTCCCGACCCCAGCATCCCAGCTAGATTGTGGCATCATCTGTCGCCAGGCTCCTGAGAGACCTAGGCAGAGCCAGCCATGAGGGGTGCAGTGGGGTCCTCTGGTTCACTTGCCCCCCTCTGCTCCCAGGAGAGCTCTTCTTTGACATCGACAGCGGGAGGAACGCGCCGCTGCACTCACCGCCCTCGGAGCACTACACCATCATCTTCAATACCTTCGTCATGATGCAGCTCTTCAACGAGATCAACGCCCGCAAGATCCATGGCGAGCGCAACGTCTTCGACGGCATCTTCCGCAACCCCATCTTCTGCTCCATCGTCCTGGGCACCTTCGCCATCCAGGTAGGAGGGCGGCTCTTGGCCGGGCAGCACCTAGTAACAGGGCAGTGGGTTCCACTCACCTCCTGAACCCACCTACCCACCCCCCACCCTCTGTATCTGACCTTCGAAATACCCCCAGACTTGCCCTGGTTCACCTATTGGGTGCCAGAGGAGTGTTGTGGTGAGCAATCAAAATGGACTCTTCTTCTAGATTCAAGAATTGGCTCTGCCTGGCTCTCTCCAGCTCGGCTGTTTCCATTTCTAGCACTCAATTCTTGGCATGAGGCCACTGAAATTCCAGAAAGTTCTTTAGGAGATGCTTTCTGCCCCGGTGTTGACACACACCGATGTCTATAAAGGCACCATAGTTCCAAAAGGTTTGGTCAAAGATGCTCTCTTCCCTGGGTGAGGGGTTGTCACTGTGGACATCCTACACTGTGTTGTCAGCCCCTCTTAGGAACACATGCAGGGGAGGAGCTCAGAGGCGGGAAAAGCAGAAGACTTCCAGGGTGTGCCCAAGAGCCCTGCTGAGCAGAATGGCTGGTCACCAAGGCAGGCTCGGCCCTTATAGCTAGAGGAGGGGGCACAGGGGTAGGCCTGCTTGGGCTAGAGGGCAGGTGGTTGTGCTTGGGGTGGGCCGAGTGGGGCTGCCATCCACCATCCATATTCTACAGATTGTCATCGTCCAGTTTGGCGGGAAGCCCTTCAGCTGCTCCCCATTGTCCACAGAGCAGTGGCTCTGGTGCCTCTTCGTTGGTTTCGGGGAGCTGGTCTGGGGACAGGTGAGTATCTGCCTTGATGGTTTACTCAGCCCACCTTCCAGCCACCCCACTCTTTCATTGGTGACAGGCACCATGAGGAAGGCTCCAGCCCTACTCCTGGGGAAGGAAAGCACGTAGGCACGTGCTGTGCACATCAGGCAGACGGCCTCATTCACCGCTGACACACCAGGGCCTAGGTCCACGCCACATGTAACAGCATCAACAGAGGGGATGGCAACAACCATGGCAGTGATGCCACATGGCCCAGGAACACCACCTACTGCTGCCCATCTTCCCATGATAGGAGCAGCAAATCACACCTTAGACCTGAATGGCTTAGGAAACCTCTAAGTGTTTGAAGTTAAACAATACACCACTAAATAATCTACACCTTAAAGAGACCATCTCAAGGGAAATTAGAAAACATGTCGACCTGATGGAAAATGGAAATACAAAACATCCAGATCTGGGAGTGCAGCTAAAGCTGTGCTTAGAGGGAAATATATAGCCTTAAAATGACTATGTTAGGAAAGAACATACTGGGTGGCTAGAGATTTGTCAAAACACAGGCCTTTAGCTGGGCCAGGCCAGGTGCACACAAGAGGCTTCAGAAAGCATTTCTGCAGATTTCTAGAGCATTCTGCCCCTCTTCTCCCTTGTTCTTCCAAACCAAACTACATCACTTCCCAGTTCCCTCTTCTTTTTGCCCCTCCCTGAGCCTTCCCTCCCTAACCCCCATCCACCTGCAGGCCCAGCCACCTCCCCACCCTGACCGACTGCCTGCCAAGCCAACCAGCGCCCCCTCCTTGGCAGACAGTGGCCGCTGTGGCACCTCCCTGCTTCCCCAGCTCTCTGCTCAGCTCCAGAGCAGTGTGTCCAGGCCAGAACCCTGGCAGCATGGCCCAAAGGAAGCCAGAAGATATGCTTCTCTCCCACCCACAAGGCTTATAAGAGTTGGTCCCTTCTGGCCTCGAGGACCATTGCTCTCTCTCCCCTTCCTTCCTCTCTGACCTCAAGCCTCAGCGCTGTCCCACCCGCTCAGGCCTGTTCCACATTCATGCAGATCCTTGGGCTCATCCTCCCTGACCAGTGTAGTGTCTTCTCCTCCAGGGGTTAGCCTCGGCTCTTCCACAAGCATCAACATTTCCTTCTGGCTCCTCTCCTGGTGCCCTGGTTATCTGACTGTGGCAGCAACTTTCCATTGTCCCACTGTCCCCATAGTAGACTGTGAGCCCTACCCACTGAGGGGCTCGGGTGTCAAGGAGCATGGTATCTGGAGCAGTTTGTACCCAAGGGTAACACTTGACATCGCTGGGCAATCCCAGGCTGCCTGGCCTCTCACTACCACAGCCCCTGATGCTCAGACTTCAGCTTGGAGGAGGCCAAGCTCAGTCAGTCCTGGGCACTCCTGAGTGTACACTTCAGGGACCCAGGACCGCCCCCCAGCCTTCACACTTGGGGGTGGTGTGGCAGGTATATGGGGAAGATTCCAGTAGGCCCTTGAGCGGAAGGGGTGCGGGGAGAAAGAGGACAACCCCGGATGCTCGGACTGCCTGCAGATCCGACCGGCAACACCTCATCCAGCTCCTGCAAAGCAAAGCCGTTCAGAGGGAAGACGCCGACACCAGGCAAATGCACCCCGAGTTCACCTTGGGGGTCAGCAGGAGCATCTCGCCCACAAGTCTGGCCACAGGAATGAGGGTCCGAGAGGCCTGAAGGGGGTGGGAGGCCGGACCTAGCTGAGGATACCAAGGCACTAACTAAAGCCACGTTGGCTCTGGTCCTCAGGTCATTGCCACCATCCCTACCAGCCGGCTCAAGTGCCTGAAAGAGGCAGGACACGGGCCTGGGAAGGACGAGATGACCGACGAGGAGCTAGCTGAGGGGGAGGAAGAGATTGACCATGCTGAGCGGGAGCTCCGCAGGGGCCAGATCCTCTGGTTCCGAGGTCTCAACCGAATCCAGACACAGGTAAGCGGCTCTCGCACCTGGCCTAGTGGGAGGGGGGAAGGAGAGGGCCTGAGAAGAAGCAAGGTTGCCGATCTCCCTGTAGCTGTCCTCCCTACCCCCTGGAAGCATTAGCCTGTGAAGTCCATGGAAAGTCTTGTTTGTCAAACTGTGTCCTTCCTGTTAACCTCGAGCTCCAAATATTAGGGCTCTTGGAGGCCAAGGCCGTCAGCCAGACGTGCTCTGCCCTCTCTTGGCCCCAACTCTGCCGAGCCCCCTTTCCAGAACATTCCATACTTGCTGCTGCTCCACATCCTTCCCTCCCCCTCCTCCCTATCCCATTGCAGCTGACCTCTATTCCTCGTTCTTGCCTGGATGCCCCGGGCTACCCCACCCTCCTTGCTCTCTGCCTTCTGCCTTGGGAAAGGGTCTCACTTGTCCTCCTTGTCCTGCATGGCCCCAGTCACCCAGTCAGGGACCCTCGAGCTTGCCCCCAATGCTCCACAGGACCTTCCCCTTGCTGCCCCCGCCCAGTGAGTACCCGAAGCTGTTCCTGGAGCATGCGCCCCAGGCCAGGCTTGTCCCCCTGGGCCCGATGCGGCCCACTGCCAGTTCATCCCAAATCCACCCTCACCTTTCTCTTGAGCTTTCATCTCAGCAGCTTGAGGGTTAGCCCACCCACTTGGCTTCCTGCTTCTCTCTCACCTCTAAATGCCCGCCCGCTCTGCTGTCTGACTCCCCTGGCCTCCTCCCGTGTGGGCCTCTGCTTGCTTCCTTCCTCGGGGTCCCCCGAGGGTCACCTCCCTCCGTCACGGGCTTGCTCACACTCACCCCCTCCTGTCCCATCACACATGTAGTGTGGGCACACCAAATGACCTGGAAGCTGCCCAAGGCAGCATGACCCCTGCCCAACCCCAGAGGGTGGGGACTGTGTAGGGTGGCCAGGCAGGTCCCCTAACACCTGCCTGTCCCGGCCAGTGAGTTGAGCTGCGTTCACTGGGCCCTGGAGTTCTTGGCCTGAAGTCAAACTTCCTGCGCAACATTAAGAGAGCCACACACACCTCCCTGCAAGCCCTCCTGGCCACTCTTCCGGTCTCAGTTGGCCCCCTTGAGGGTACGGAAAGCAGTAGGGTTCTCCCTGATCCTGTCGCCACCTGGTGTCTTCCATCTTCCGTGAGCTCTTGGAGTCCTGGGCAACCCCCTGCTTTCCTCACGAGGGAGCAGGGCCCCCAAGAGGAGGGCCTCATCCCCGGTCACACAGTCTCCCTTATCCCACAGCCCGAGAGGGGCCCCAGCACCGACCATCCTTGCAATAAAGGCACTTGAATTCCTTCCCAGAACCCGTGACTTTATCAGGCTGCATTCACCGTGCTTCTCTGGAATGCTGAAACAATCCCCTTAATTGAGCTCCACTGTTTCAGAGCGGCCCTTTGGATTGCAAGAAGATGCTCCCTGGCTTGACATCCCATGAAAGCCATGCTCTAGGCTGGCCTGGCCCAGGCTTCTGGATTTGGCAAGCCACACAATTTTTCCACCCCGAAAATTGGGCAGCCAATGCCACGTCTAATGGTGCTAAAAGTAAAGACAGTCTGAAACAGCTAGTTACTCTCGCCATCATTTCCCAAGATAGCTAGGGCACAATTTCAGAAGAAAAGCTAGTCCTTCAAGTGGAATATCTGACACTCTCGAAGAACTCCCACTCCTGTCTTTAGGGGATGAAAGGGATGCCCAAAGAGAAGGTGACAGCACAGTGTAGGCTCCGGAGCACCCAGCCTGCGGCCCCCCGTCTCCCCTCCCCACGGACTGTCTGAAGGGAAGGAGAATGCTCCTTCCCATTGGGAGACAAGGGGGTTTGGGCACCCAAGCTGCCTTCCAGTCGACCCTAGGGGCCTTGGGGGTGGGGGGGGGATGGAGCTGGGCCTAGAGAGGCAGACTCACTTTCCCACTCACATCAGTCCTCCAGTTCTATGGTTCAGCAGTTTCCACAGGTCAGCTCCACCCTCAAAGGCCAGAGACCTGCCCTCACTTGTTAGGATGGTCCCCCAAACATGTCAGGCCAGCCTGGCCTTCCCAGTTCTTGGCACATGGCCCACCCCGGGGAACCGTTGATAAGGCTTAGTCACCGCTCCTCGAGATGTGCCCCTGCGTCTGCTCTGCCCCTACTGCCCAGTGTGCTGAGAAAGAAGTTCCCACTGCGGGAAACACAGAGCGCCTCGGTCAGGCCCCACCCCAGGGCTGTCATAACCGCAACTCTAGACCGGTCTCGGTTTTCTGCAGACATCGCAAAAGCAATCCTTGTTCTCACAACCTTCCAGCGCTCCAGCCCTGCCAGTGGGTTTCCCGCTGTGCATGGCGGAGAACCCCACTGCTTGGCCTCGCTTCTAATGGGCGTGTGTCATGTCCCTCAGGTGTGTTGGGGCGGAAAAAAGGTTGAGAGCTACTGACCTAGGAAAACAAAGTATGGCGGACACAGGTATTTACTGACGAGTGCCTTGTCCTGAGCATATCGTGAATGAGTCTTCCTAAAACGTTTGCAGTGTGTCCCCGAGTTCAATCTCCCTGCTCGTGACCACTAATCCTTTGTTCAGAGTGGGCAGGCGGGCGGGTGGCGCTTGAGGAAGCTTTCGGCCACGCTGCGTGCCCAGCGTGGCGCCTGCGCTCCCAGCCCCACCCCTGCTGCAGTGGCCGGAGAACAGTACAAGCCAAACTTTATCTCATTTTCTCTCCCACAGATGGAGGTAGTGAGTACCTTCAAGAGAAGCGCTTCATTTCAGGGTGCTCTGCGCCGGCGGTCTTCAGTCCTCAGCCAGCTCCATGACGTAACCAATCTTTCTACCCCTACTCACGTAATTCTCTCTGCTGCCAATCCCACCAGCGCTGCTGGCAGTGAGTCTTGAGTTCCCTTTACTCTCATAAATGGCATCTCGGGGGGAGAAAAGGCCTCCCCCTCTTTCTTCTCTTTTGCAGTCTTGCATCCCCCCCCATTCTTTCTTTACTCCCTCCGGCCCCTCCCGGGCAGACGGTGTGCGCTCCACGCCACTTCTGGATCTGCCGTTCTTTGCTTTGGTGGGGTTTTGGTTCTGCGTGAGCACTTCTCTGTCATTGGTTTTCCTTTACTGAGCGGGTCTTCACAACCTGGGGCTGCTCTGGGGGAACTAGCAGGAGCCCGGGGCTGAAGAGCAGCTCCCAGCATCCTCCTGGGGGTGGGGGTGGGGGGTTGCTCAGGCTCAACAGGAAGTTTCCAGAAGCACCTTGCTCTTTCCAAACAGTCTCCCCGCCATGCTCCTCCCCCCACCCCTGTTCTCTCTCTCTCTCTCTCTCTCTCTCTC